AATGTATCTTTTACTATACTTATAAAGAAAAGAAGATAAAAGACACAATTATATAGAATACATCATTACTAAAAACTGACAGTATAATCATTTTTATTTTATAAAATCATATGTATTTAAATTATTTATGTGTAGTGTTCCATCAATCTTACGGAACAGTCGGTATCGAAGGGATCAGAGGCAGCTTGACGAGGAGGAGGAACTATGGTTTAATGAAGAGGAAGAATTTGATGAAGGTGAGGTGGCAATTATGTCACAATAGCAGATCTTATATTTCGAATTTTTAAGCTAAATCATTATCTTCAAATTTTGCATTTCGTTTTTGTAGATTCGAAAAGTCATCAGCAACAACAGCAACAGCAGTCTGTATTAAATAACAATACTGCTAATAATAATATTACCTCGCAACAACCACAGATCAATAATAGCTCGTCAACAACGAATGAATCGCCAATTGCTTCGGACATAAATCCTTCTCCGGCTATTGGCACTGCGGAAAAAACGGGAACGGCACTGTTTAAGAAGGTAAAACAAGAAAGAGATACATTCATTTGGAATATTATAGTTTTACAGCATCATTTTAATACGCAAATAAAATTATTGATATTTAAATCCGTGAAATAATTAAATTGAAGTTTAAATTGCAATTTGCATCGACAAATAATTCTCTGTTGATTTATAGATTTATGATAAAATTGAGATTTAAATAAATTTAATTTCTACAGGGGTTAGTCGACTATGAAGGAGATTCGGATGAGGAGGATGAAGATTCAGAATTAAGTCCTTCCCCAAAACGACAACGATTGTCATAGTAGGCAAACTTGGAAAGAACAAGAACATTTGTGATTTTTAATTGCTATTATCATTTCACGACCCTCCTACATGTAAAAACAGATCTATCTCCTCATTGTCGGAAGAGATATAAAATTGAGCTTTCTCGCTAAGGAATGGACACAACAATAAGTGCTTTTTAAAGAAAAAAAAAAAACTGTATGGTGGGCACTCATTCATAGGTCTGTCTGTGTTGATACTGTGTATAGTATGTGAAACATAAATAGGGTCTGAATGAAAACTGTAAGCTCGGTCGAATGTGTCGATAAAAACAAAGGAAGAATGAACTTTCTTTAATGAAACGATCAGTAATATTAATATTGTGGCATAATATAATGTAGTACGATGTACTGTATAATGCGTTAAAAAAAAAAGTAAGAGATACTAAACAAATCATAGAGTCCATTCCACTTGTCTGGAACCATCTTGCGCATTAGGGAAGATAATCTCATGGATAACTATAAATAGTCTAAGAAGATTTGGCTAGAATTAGCCAAGTTTAGTGACTTACAGGTACACAGGAGATCGAAGTGTACGCTTAGACACAGTGATAAACTAACTGTCACAGTTAAACTGGAATGTCATAGTTGAACTGTGACTAAATCGTAATCACAGTGTATCACAGTTATCTGGTAAGTCTGCCAAGAAAGAACTTGCAACATGTTGTAAGACAATTCGGAGAAGACAAAGAGTACATGATGTACCGCACAAAAGTAATCTAGCGTTTTGTTTTGCCATTCGTAAGTTTCCTATCGCGCCTGCTGCGCGATAAAAAGAACGGTTCTTCAACGGGTCAGGCACTATGAAACTTTATCCAGTTCAACAGAAGTATTTAGTTTGTATATATATGTATATTTGTAACGATTGTAAAACAACCACACTCATGGATTAAACAGAAACATGCAATTTGTTTAAGGAATTCAGTTCCCTTTGAAATACTTTCAACAAGCTTTTCGATTGTCAATGTAAGTAGTAGTAATTGTACAATAAATATTTGATTTATGTATATTTATCAGTCTGCACTTCATGCCCAATGTTAATCCTTGATGTGTAAAGTATAACTTGAATGTATCGCGAAACGCTTGAATATTAGGCTTATGTATAAAATATATTGTTCGTATTTACGTGATGGGCAAAGTGGAGCCAAGAATGACAGAAAAGCGCTTTGTAAAAATAGACTCGTATATGCGATTTAGCTTTGTTAAATTATAAACATGTTTATAATATATATATATAAAACGTATAATTTATATATCAGATAAAAAAATGTCAGACGATGCAATATAAATTCTTAATTTGTGTTTATGCTATTTAAATTTAACAAGAGATGAAGTGTTATGATAAATAATTTTATCTTGTAGAAGTGAATAACATTTTGAAACTAGATACATATAATTCAAATTAAAGTTTAACTTTACAGTATCATATCAGAAAACTAGATTCTATCTATTTGTATCAGCTCCAGAAAAAAAGTGCTTCTTCAAATCATTTATGCAAACGATAAAGTTGACAATGAAAATTTAATTTTTGCATTTATCACTATATAATTTCTATATCGTATCATATTAGTAACTTTCATTTTTACATCGTTTTTCGTTCAGTTGACTTTACAAAGAAAAGTATTACAAACTAATGTACAGATTTTTCAACGATATGCCTAATACCCGAAAGAATTTCCAAGACTGCTTTAGGACTGTAAGTACATAAATGCTTGAAATATTGCAGTGGAGATATACACCTGTACACATATACATATATATTAACTCTTACTTATAGCGAAAGGGATTCAGAAGTTAATTCAATCACAAGATGAACAAATTGTGAATATCTGAGTTAGGCGAATTCGCTGGAGCTGAGTGATACATGTACATAAAATGTTGTGCAACTTGGACTGATCACAAAAAGAAGAAATGTAACAAAGGCTAATATTAATTAGTTAAGTAAGATAAGCTGAATAATGTTGTTCTTTATGTGTTTTACATATATCCACAATTTATTCGATAATAAAGAACAAATATTAAGCCTAGAATGTTATTGAGTGTAAAGAATGTAAGTAAAAAAGAAAGAAGAAATGAATTAATATCTAAGTGATATTGGAGAGTAAAAAATGCGGTCATGTGCTATTTAAATTGACAAATTTGATATATACATTTGTACAGAGTGTGTTACGCTCTTATACATTTCGTCTCTCATCAATGATATATTTGATTATTATTTAGCTTTTTTCGTTTTCATTTTTATATTGATATTTGTATGCATTAAAATTTAAAATTTTAAAGCAACTGGAAAACTAATGAGTTAAACATTTTCTAATCATTTTTTTTCCTATTTACGAATTCATATTTATAGAATAAAGATATACTTTTATAATACGAAGTAAAATAAAACACATCCAATTAAATTTACAAGCACAAAATCGTTATAATCTCGTATTTATTAGTTGCTCTGAAAATATTGGTGTTTTATTATACTTGTGTCTTCTATTAAATATATTCAAAATTCATTATAATATTATTATATGATATAGCTCTGAACATATGATATGATAGTTTAAAACATTCTGCCTCAAAACCATCGCCGAGATCGCAAACATACATTTTTCAACCGTCGATATAATGTTAAAGGAGGAAAACATGTCGAGACGTGCACACATTGTACAATATCACATGCTAATACTAGCATGCGTTTTAATTATATATAATAAAACAAATAAGAAGCTTTTTCTTTGAGAGTCACATATATACAGACACACGTACACACACAGACATACACACATACACACAGAGCAAAGGAAATCTTTTTATATGAAAAGCTATTCGAGAATTTTGTGAATTAAGAGCAAGTATAAAGTATACAATCTTGTGTGTATTATGATAAGTGAATGAATTGTAATTGAAAAAGGTAATTGTAAAAAAATTTTGCATTTTATTCTACTGGGGAATGAAAGAAACAATCAGGCAACAAAAGTGATATCTAAATGCAGGATTCATAGCACAAAACACGCAAATATTACAGAGAAAGTTGTTTAACTTTCACGAATTTTTTGCCCAATATTGTATCATAGATTCTAACTTGATTATAGTGAACAGTTCAATTCTAACAATCAAAATCAGTTGACTGTTGTATCAAGTAGATCGATGTCTGCAGCGATAGGAAAAGAGAATTATATTTAATTTAAAATTATAAAACTAATTATAATTACACTAAATATATACATATATTAAATATCCATGACACATTCTGTACATGTATATATTATATAGAGCGAATTTTTTGCATGCTGCAGGTAGACATTGATTTTCATTATTCTTCGTATATTTCAGAGAAATATACGTTAGTATTTCTTTAAATAATGAAGAGGAAAGTTAGATATTTATATCATGTATACACAGCGTACTTATTGCTGGTATTATGCTATGAATCCATTTCATTTGTTAGAAAGTAGACTGCAAAAAAGTGAGAGTGATAAATGTGTATTATACAAATACAGTGTGTTGTAGAAGTGCGAAGAGTATTTAATTAAATAAAATTAAAAATTAGATCAATACTTATTAGCGAAACTAATCTACCTTAATATCTATACTTTTGAATTTTTGTTGAATACAAAAACACAGTGTGCTTGATAATTGTGATTTAATCTAATTAATAGTTAGTGAAATAATTGGAAATCTTTAAACATTTTATACTTTTTCGTATATTTATATTTATAAATGTGCATTAAATCCTTATTATTGACTATTAGACTTATACAAACATATTCTTATATAGTAGTGAGAAAAAACATTTAAAATGCAGTATTCTTTCTTTTATTAAATGTAGTTTTACTTAAAAAAATCAGACTTTTGATAAGATAAAATAGTACATGGGTGAAGATATCTGCAGATATTAAATATGTTTTACGTACTTTACCCTTCATGAAAATGTCAAGAATAAATAGGAACATTCTTAAATAAAGACGTAAGAATATAAAAATTCGTACATTTTCGCACATTTTTCGGAAACTATATCTGACGTACGACGTCTAAATACAATTTTGCATATACTACTTTTCTAGATATCACAATCATGTAGTCTTTTGTATGAAGCTCTTTACCGGGATTGCGAGTTTAAAACTAATTAATTATGAGAAATCGATATATATTTTATATATATATATATATATATATATATATATATATATTAATGTGGATTAAAAATTACTTATGTACAACTTCAGCTTTCAGTCGGGCGGCAAGAGCCCTTCGTACTTGAAGTATTGAAGGATCTATAGCTTGCGCTGCTTCTAATTCTTGCTGTCCTTTCATAGTCGCTTCGGCGACTACTCTGGCCGAGCTCGGCCGAGTTTTGTTCATTTCTAACTGTTGGCTTCTAGCTTCCTTTTTCAAAGCTACAAGTTTATCTCGCCTGGCTTTCAGATATTCTTGCCTCTTTTTAATATCTTCTGCATTCATCTGCAATAATTTAAGCAATACAATAAATTTTTGTTTCTATACACATATTATTTATGGAAAATTATATATATTTATACATATATATTAATATCGCATAAATCAAAAGTAAATACCTCATCCTCATCAGATTTCTTTTTCGAAGCCGGTATCGGTTTGAGAGGCTCGGTCTTCCTGAGGTGAAGATTGTCTAACGACTTTTTATCAACCGATACGGTGGCACATTCAACATCTTCCGTTGACTCGTCCTCCGAAGTATTTCTGGATCCTTCTTGCGACTTTCTTAATGCTTCCTCTAATAACGCCCTTTCATTGTGATATTCGGCAGCTAGACGCTCGTGTTCAGCGATCAATGTTGTTTCCGAGGATATACCTGACTCCTCCTCGCTCTGATCTTCTAGAACACGTTTCCTGCGCACACATATGAAAGATATATATGGTTCTCATTCCTCCGATACAAAAACCGTTTTTACGAAAGTCTCGAATTCTTGTATGGCAATACATATATATGTTGCCTGATATATTGATATATTTATGATATAACGTACTGTATCAAGTCCTCCATGACCAGTTCGTCGTCAAGGAAGCCATCCGTCTCGTACACGAGGGAGGCAGGTGTGAGACCGTATTTTTGTTCGATCATATTTAGCGCCTGCAGCTGGAGCTCCAAGTTCTTTTGTATCATCATCCTTTTGAATATCTCGTACTCATTCGCCGCCCATATTTGTTCGAATAGATTCTAAAACGCAGAACGGAACGTATAATTTTTAAGAAGAGAACAACGGCATTTGTTGATAGAGGTAAATTGTATCGTGAATTTTTCACTAACGTCTCTGCCATTCATTTTTACATATATTAATTTTTAAATATGTCATTTTTCTTTCTTCTTTGATATCGAATACGTGAATTTCTTTTTTAATCTTATAAAATACTAGTAAAATATAATTCTTCGTGCAGACAAATGCAGTGTGTAATGAGCATACTTGTTGAAAATGTATTGGGATCTTTGTATCTCTGTTAACGGTGCACGCGTGTTCGAATTGTTCCGGCGTGATACTCATATCTTCCATAAAGCAACCGAGCAGCAAGTCAACCAAGTTCTTGTACTCCTGATATATTTTCCGATACTCTTCGCAGTCTTCGGTATTGGCCTCGAAAACTACAACATATTGGAGAGACTTTGTGTAATACTCATTTACAGATCATATTCTTACAAATTAATCTTGTTAATTAAGCAGCCCTCGGCGAAAAATTTTCTAATTTTACGAAGGCTTCTATTTCCATTGTAAAGAAATTATCTCGAATATTCTGAAAAGTATCAAAAATAGATGAATGTGATCCCGTTACAAGCCACGCTATGAAATTTTTCTTTGTTTCTTTCTTACTGCGTATAAAAAAAATTTTTAACCGAAGAGCTCTGGTTCGAGAGAAAATGAAGAAAGTATTTCCGAATAATTGTACGAACCGAGGGACTTTTCCTCGATGAAGGTCAGCAGGGGCGAGGACCAAATGGGGCCTTGCAAAAATCCAATCAAGGAGTCGAACACCCAAGCGCTGTCATCCTTATCATTCATTTCGCCGGGATTGTCTCTAACGTCGCCGGGATTATCACTAAAACGTGAATTCGCACACTTGTGTCGAGAGCTTGCATACAATCCTACGCCTCCGACACGATACTTCTCTCTAGCTTAGCAAGTTGTAGTCATAGTTACGACGGGCAAAACATGAGCCGTTAGAATTAGACTTGCGCCAGTATTATTCATCGGAATCGATGAGCGCTGTCTCTTCTTTCGGTTTCAATTGCAGACAGATAGATACAAGTAGATACCAGGAAATCACTGCAAAATATACAGAGCATTTTCATATCTATCTTGGACATCTTGGTAAATAAATATATGTATCTCCTTCAGAGATAGCAACAAAGAAATTAAATGGTTTATCCAGTCCAATATATACACGTATATCAATTATTGATATGAATTATTAAGATATTATTGTAATTTTTTTTAGATAAAAGACCCATGATTTTTGTAAATTGCAAGAAAAATATCATTATTTGCAGGATACGAAATATACATTAATTAATCTATACGGGATTTTCAATTTTTGTAATATACAATATATTTTTTATGCAGGGATACTTTTTATAAAGAGAAAAAAAGTATAAGATGAAAAGAAAAAATATAATTTAAATTATATTTATTTAAAATTCGAAAAAATAATCGGCTCTGCTTTGAGAATGTTTCTCGAGATCAATTCTTATAGAAAAATAATACGTATAAATTTTAAAAAATAATTGTTCCTATAAAGAGAATTCGCATGAAAATTAACGTGGTGATATCGAAGAGCAGATAGCGACATCGAACAATCGATTAACTTTATTAAGCAACAATCATATTGTTTTATCTCTGAAACGCGGAATAATTCATAGAATAATTCATTTTTTTTTTCATTGAATAAATTGAAAAAAAGATTAGATTAAGGACGACGAATTATATAGTCAGAAATTTTGCAGCGCGAGTACAAATTCCGCCGGTCGTAAATTGATTGCTGACTAATAATAAGCTAATTAAAGTTTATAATATATTATTATTGATATCTTTACGAATTAAATTGTTACTCGTTTCGGTAACAATTTATTATAATTTTCTTTTCTTACCTTCATCGCTCGTTTATCATTGCATGTGGTACGTATACAAAATATATACAAAATAAGAGAGGAAGGGAGGAGAGAGAGAGAGAGAGAGAGAGAGAGAAGAGAGAATTTATTAAGTGTCGGAATTTTCTCCCCTCAATATATAATTATTGGTATGTAAAAAATAGATAAGCAATGCGCTATGATAAGATGACAAGTGTGAC